CTTCCTAGCTGTCGACGATAGGAGGAGGTCTTCCTCTCTCCCTTTCTTCGCAGTCGTTGGCGATGGAGAAAATGTTGCGACGATGATGGTGGGTGGTGGGTTGGCGATGGCAGTGGCGGTAGCRGTGGCGGCGACAAAAGCCAGAAATAGGAGAGAGAAAGAGAGGATGAAGAGTGAGAAAATCACACATGGCAACTAACGATTAAAGAACCATTTAGAATAATTTCACAAACTTTGAGGACCAAAAATATACATATTGAAACATGAGAGACCAAATAGATACTTACTACTATATTTTTCTCTAAAATAAAAATTATTCTGAAATCATGAGTTACACGAAAGTGCCAATTTCAAGTTAAAAAAATAGTTGGCATGAACTAATCAATTTGAAAACCTAATTGCAATACTTTTAGGTTTATAATGTGACTAATACCAATGGTTGAGAAAGTAAAATTTTAGAAATGAGAGAACATATGAAAAAAAAACTAAGAGATTAGTATATGTTCGATATAGGAAAAGATATGTCCSATATATGAAATCAGATCTTAAATTTGTTGAAGGATAAAATTTAAATTTTTTATTTTTRTAGAAAGTTGCATGCCTTTGYCTTCTGTRACAGGAGAGATGAATCTGAGTAACAAATAGTTGARTCTCAATAGAYCATCTACAAAAGATTCTACTTGTCGCTYGGTATGAATTACGTTACTAGACGGCCCTCAGGTCTTATTTGTCACGATGGCTTCACCAGCAATACAACACAGATTTTGCAGATCAGCGTATTTAAAAAAAATGGTTTTGAGCAGAATAATTTAATCAATTCTATCGAACATAAAAAACAGTTAAAATCCTCTCACAATCATTTTGAATGTTTTAAAAAAAAAATCAATGCCAAATTACAATTAAAATTCTCTCACCATCATCTTGAATGCTTTAAAAAATCAATGCCAAATTACAAGGCTAAAACTAGTAATCGAAGTCTTAGTGGAAAATAAACAACCATAAGAATTAAAGTGACCAAAACGAGCATAGTTCAACAATAGTTGACATATATCTTCAACTAACAGGTGGTGAGTTCAATCCCTCACCCCACCTATTGTACTCAAAAGAAAAAAAAAAATAAGAACTAAAGTGACTATATGTGGACTTTTTTACTTTCTGTTTGAAGTGGAAATACAAACTTACCACCTTTAAACTAAGATATCAATAACTTTAACTAATTAAACTATAATCGAGTATCATCTCAAAGGTAAAAAAAGTAACTCACTTTTCTCTCTTGTCAGAAATTTCTTGTAGTAGAGATGATCCTCTTTCAATTGTGGGCGAGAATCCGTCCTTCCAATACATGACAAATGACACTAAAATCATTTTGAAAAAAAAAGTAACAGATACCATTTTGATAKGTGTACTTTTGRTTTAGTTCCTTTGATTCTTTATACTTTTAAAATATCTATTTTAATTTATGTACTCTTTAATTTTGTTCATTTTAGTYATTGAACTTTCAAAACGTCTATTTAGATTTATACACTTTTAAAAATGATCRGTTTAATTTCTTGATTTTCATTTTTGTCTCGTTTATATCTATTACAATTTTAGTGTGATATTTTACTCACTTAACCTTTTGAAATGTAACCATAAATTTGTATTGAAAAGTTTCCAATGTGTATAAAATTTCACGAATAATGACTTGCATTGATCACTTTTTAAGAGTAGATGAACCAAAGCAGATGTTTTGAAAATACAGAGGCTAAAATAAACCGAAGTTGAAAGTTTAAGTACAAAAATAGATGAACCAAAATTAAAATTACATAGACTTAAATATTATTTAAATCCTAAATTTTAATATTATTTAATATAAYAAGGAATTTTATCTCTAATACGAGTATAGCTCTTGGAGTTGATCGAATTACCCATACCGTGGTATTCGGAAAAAGAAGTCATCAACATTCATATTATTCACTTTAATATCTGAAGTATTTTTTAGGAAATCAATCAATCATGAGGTGTTTGGATATGTTACATCAAAAAATTGTTCTGAAACTTTTTTGCATTTGGACTTTTGAGATAAAGCAATCCCTTTGAACAGATACTTTTATTTGTATTTTTGTTTACCATTTTGGGCTAATTAATTAAACTATAAAAAGACATCAATTTTTTTGAAGCACTAGTGTCTTAAGAAACATTGATAATATCAAATATTATTAAATTTCATGTCTACTGTTTCTTTGTTTTCAGAACAGACCAAACATGTCCAAAGTCAAGATTCTTCAGTATTTTTAAAGTAGTTTTTTAGTACAGCTTTTGAACTGACCTTTTCGAGGGGCATTTAATATTCTAGTTCCAAAATGGGAAGCATGAAAATGGAACTTTGGAAGGCAAATGAATAGAATTCTGACACATGGGGAAATCGATTTACTATTATATAATTTTGAGTGGAAAATATATTAGTTTAATTAATGGAAATAAGTTGAGTTATGCCCGTTTGAACATAAAAATAAGTTGAATTTTAAGTCGGAATTTTTTTCATTTTGTTGTGTTATTCACGCATAAGCCATCATTTGGCCCTACAAGCAAAACCAAAATTTTAAATATCGATGTAAATGTCAAGGTCTCAATAGTACGAAAATGTGAATAGAATTATCAATAAAATATTAATGTCAATAGACATTTCTGAAAACATTATAGAAGTAGAAATTCTAACAAATATTTGAAATAACAGATAAACACTTTACTCTTTTAAATTAAAATTTATTAATACTAACTTTTTTTCAGTTATAAAGATGTTTAATTCACCCCTTGTATCGATGTTTAACCTAGCCAATATAAATTTCAACATGTCGATAAAAATTTAATACCCTGCCTACAACACACCGTTATCAAGAAACTTATATACTTCCCGCATCTCAAACAATCACATGGGTTAGAACTCTTTATCTTTAAAATCTCCTTATTTTTTTAATATCTTTCTAAAGATGGTAGCTCCCACACCACATTAGTATTTCTCCAAGTTCCATTTCCAAAACAAAAAGAAATCTCCACACAACAAAGTGCCTTAAGAAGGGAAAAGAGACATCATAGAACATTATAAGACAATAATACCATAACAGTGAACAGAGATAAGAGAACCAACACAAGAAAGGAGTGGAGAATCATCATTATTCATGATCAAGCCACTCCACTCTTATTAGGCCAGAAAACTTAATAGCATATCAAAGCAATAATTTTGATCATAAGAGGGAGCAAATAAATGTGGAGAGAGTAGAGCATAGAGTAGAGTAGGGTGTGAACTGGGCATTCTATTTCTAGGGACGTGTCAAAAGCTGTGGGGAAGGGAAAGGGGGCCGTGTGAAACAAGTAAAAAAATAAGAGCAGAGCAGAGCAGAAAGCCAGATGGGTGTGTGAGATTTCTTTAATAATTTTTGTGCTGTATCGTACCACTACTACTTCCCTTCCATCAGAGCCACTGCATTATCCTACCTAAATCATTGTAGTATGGAGTGTACGAGTGTGTTTCTGTTGTTCTAGAGAGAGAGAGAGAGAGAGAGAGAGAAGCAGACATATAGAATCAGTGTGGAAGGACTAAAAAGCTTTCCCCCATATGGGTTTTTCTTTTTTTCTCTTTTCTTTTGGTTTTGATTTTCTTACACAAATGACGACAGAAATCTTCAACGTGTGGCTTTAACATTTATCAGGACTAAAAGAAAGAGAAGGCCAAGTTTTGCTATTTACCAGAGTGTACAAGTAGTAGGCATGGCAAGGAGAATCACTTCACCATTTCTGCAAGTTTCCGGCTTCTTCTCAGTCTCAGTCCTCCCAGAAACAAAGCCTCCATCATTTTCACTGTATTTTCAATCAATGGCCACTAATAAGATTGAAGAAAGAAAGAAACATATGTAATATTCTCTCTCTTTATTGAAAACTATGCAACAGGGTTCGTACAAGTGGTATATTATATACAGTCTGACTAGCAAAATATGCAACTATTCATTGATGTGTAAGGGGACTATATCTTTTCTCAAATCGTAATTAATACAAGGGGCAATCTAATTTTCGTTTTAACTTCCTCACCAGCTAGCAAATGTTGAGGCTTGGGCATTAATATTCCTTCCAACGGTTCCAGCAGTCAATTTTATGATGGAACTCTGGTGGAATATTAACCCCCAGCCCCCAAACAAATTTAAGAAGAAATAAAGGGTCCTAGCTGCGGCAAGTATTTGACTGTAACCTCTTCGATGTAACAGAGACGTGGCTCTTACTTCAGCCAAAGTTTATTCGTCCAGGGCTTCATAAATAATAATATCACAATGGGAACTCCTTCTGAAGAACATCAAGATTACGGGAATCGCAGGCTTCCAGCATGTCATTCCTTGATGCGCAGCTGCAACAGAGAAATATTTGACTTCATATTTGCGTTGAAGGGTAGATGATGCAAGGATAAAATGTCTCCAATTCACATACCTTAGTGAAATTCTTAAATATTGCCAGGCATTGTCTGCCTTTGGATTCATACTAAGTGATCTCACATAGTACTTAATTGATTCCTCATACAGGCCCTAAGTGCACAGAGTAAGAAAGTCAATTGATGTTCCAGTACATTTTCATTACTTAACGACTGTAGACGAAAGATTCGTCCTAGAAATTTCAAATAATTTGTTAATAGAAAACTGAAAAAAAAAATCTGGAGAAAGAGGACTTAGCCAAGGCTGGAACAAGAAATAGTTAAGCTTGGGGAATACCTGATTGGCATAACTGATTCCCATATTGGCCCATGCACGCACATAATTTGGCTTCAAATCAAGTGCCTAAGAGACAAATTAAGTCAGTTAAAACACTCAGAAGAGTCATTATGAGGTTAAAACAAATTGAAATAAACGTGCAACCTACGTCAAAATGGAGATGGAATGCATGAAATACATATTGATGGTCAAATGCAGTTTAGTTGTTTACATGGTGGCCAGCAAGAATATTGATTCCAATGACACCACGACCATACACAGGAAAAATCCTATAAATTATCTCCACCCCTGATAGTGCATGCTATTAAAGAGACGAGTAAGAAAATCCATCCAATGCTTAATTGCTAGTTTTCCAATTCTATGGGAATGAGTTACTCCTATTCTTGTAATGTTGGGCAGGATGGCTTTACTTGCCTTTTATTGGTGAATGATTTAGTTTCTCAAATGTAGGAACCATGCCTATATTATGACCAGTTTTATGATGGTTAGAAGGGCGGGCATATCTATGATAAGGGCATGCATAAATTGGAAAATCATTTCAAACAGCTTCACCACAGTCTTTTACAACAGTGTAGAAACTTCACTCTTTCTTCAAATCTGTGCATGTTATGAGATTACACACAACCCTGATTCCATGACTACTTGTTTTGTATCATTATTAAGCTTAAATGATAAATAAATTCTTCTCATGATGTCATCTATATTAATATACACACGCACACATACATATGTGCATAAGCATGCATACTATAATGAAGAAATTCTTCCTTGAAAGTAGGAGCCCTTTCCTCTACCGAATGACATCTTTCTTCCTGTACTACATCAAAAACTTCAAATTTTTCTCAATTTCTTCCTTGTCGGCTAGGCTTCCTTGTATATTTTAGTTAAATTACCATTTTCATCCCTATAAACTAACGTTTCAGAATTGTAGAACTCCTCCCTCTTATAAAAAGTTTTCTCCATCCATAAGACATTCATTGACTCGTCACCTCTTGTTTGCCAAAAGAATCTGTTGTTTCTAGGGCTCCCCAAGAGGAACTAGCACTACCCCATCCAAAAAGCCGTAACCAGTAGGATAGAAATCAATGCCACAATTTTCCCTCTCCTCTGTTTTTGCTCTTCCTCCTCTAAACTCTCATCTGACGAGTATCTAAAGACTTCAGACTCCATATTCATTACCCAAATGGGTAATGCCAACCTTTTCGCATTCCACCTTCGACACTCTCACACTCCCTCAGTCCCCTTTGCAACTATCTTTGATGGAATTACCACCATTAAATAATCATTGAATGTTAAACACAAAGATGCATCCTAGAGAGAGAGAGAGAGATAGATTACAGGGCCTGATTACCTGTTGATAAGCTAAAATAGCATCAGCACTTTGAATGCTGTTAGCTTGTGTAGCACCTAGCTTGTTCCAAAGAGAGTAATCTTGCGGCTTTAGTTTCAAAGCTGTTTGGAAGGATGCAATGGCTTTGTCAAATTCTCTAGACAAATTATAAAGGACACCAAGTACTATGTGCACATCCGCATCATCAGGAAACATTTTTGCAGCTTCATTAAATAAGCCAGCTACCTGCATATGCAAAAAGAAGAATGTTGCATTGTCTGAGACCAGAGAGAGAAATGGACGAAAAATGAGAAGCATCTTAAGTTCCACATCAAATACTCCTAGATGCTAATGAAATTCATTATGCAATCCAAAATCAAATCAATGATGAATTCGGTAGAAAGATCACATCAAGAAACTTGCTTCTTTGAATCGTTTTCTTAGATTTGCAGTCATAGACTAACAAGCATTTAGATCAAAGATGAATACAATATACCAATTACTATTCATTAATGATTACTAAGTAAAAAAAATCATAACATTAATAATAATAATAATCTGCTGTTGTTCAAACCTCTCTGTACACCCAAACAAAAGGGAAAAAAACACACACACGCACGCACACAAATACAAACATCAAGAACATTTGGGGGTTATAAAATAATATCACATTAAACAGATAATTCCTAATGGCAAGCATTCAAAAGAAATAGCAGTAGTTATAATTTTTCTGAGTATCTTGCTACTTGATATATCCTAATCCAGATTCTGTTGTTGATAGCACTTAGCAGACTGCAGAAATCATGAAGTTGACAGTCAAAACTTAATACCCACAGAGACTTGAAAGTAATTTACCACATTACTAAAATCAGATATCTGAATTTTTATTGTAAATGTTATAACCTCACCTAGTTTCTAAGCCTACACTACTACATGCAATAGAAATAAGCTACAGATAGCACATTTTCCATTAATAAATTTCCCAACAGTTCTAAAATTGTAACAAAGGCTGAAAGAAGAATGAGCAGAAATGGCAAGTAAGGTGCTTACATCAGCATAGTATAATGAATCAGACAGCTCCGGATTTGCGAGTGTTCCGTACTTGGGGTGATGACGTAACCATCCATACAAGTATCTTAATGCAGCTGTTTGCTCTAATTCTGCAGTAATTATTTGAGTCATCCAACACATTTTTGTTTTTAAAGGAACATATGCATTAATTTTCAAAAGCAATACAAAGGTAGGATTAGGTGTTGAAACTTGTTAGAGTATATATTAGTATATTTTATATTCTTGTATTAATATTAATTTGTCATTTACCTTCTTCTTATAGGATTAGGTCAACCTTGTATATTT